TATATATATAATAATTTACATCTGATCTCTAGATTTAAAGTGTTCACCCCAGAATCTATCTCGACTTGATCAATTCTAATTCTAATCTGGTGTGCAATGTCCATAGACCTAGAGTCTAGATCTAGATCTAGATAATCTAAATCAAGATCTAGAATCTAGATCTAAATCACTCTAGGCCTAAGTGCCCTTGTAGTAATTTTTACGTGTTTCTTATTTAGATCTAGATCTAAATCTAGATTCTAGATCTAGATCTAAACTGAATTAAAATTAGGCTAGATCTATATATATCAAATCTAGATCTAGGCATAAATATCTAGATCTAGGTTAGAGATAGATTATCTTCGCAATCTAGAATCTAGAGATATAGATTCTAGATCTAGGGGCCTATAGATCTCGAATCTAGATCTTGATCTAGAAATCTAGATCTAGATTCACTCGCACATGACAATGGCCGTCATGTAAACATAAGATCTAGATATATCTAGATCTAAAGGGACCGCAGTTGTACAGGTGCACCGAAAAAGATGCCATTGTATCAAGCACATAGGCGTGAGAAGATCTACTATTGATATGATAGTATGAATCAAGTTGCATGATGGTATTGATATTGTGTCTCCGCCAATTCACAGGCAAGTAGGCCTAGCCTAGTCGAGAGTCGCCCTTCGGTCATTCGCCAACCTCTAGATTCTAGAGCTAGATCTACTTTCCAAACTGCACACTCTTTGCTGGGTGCACTACAAAATCTAGATTCTCTAGATACACGTTTATTCATTCTCTTTCTCTCTGGGCTAAAATAAATCAATTCTAGATCTAGTAGGTCTAGGCTAAATGCATAGATCTACCAGCCGAGATGATCAGTTCATGTAGTGGACTTACATGGGGGTAACTCTATGATGGTAACCAATGTAAATTGTCAGGCCTATGCCTAATTGGCTTAGACAACACAGTGAAAGTACATGTACCTAAATATAGCAAGGCAGACCCGTCAGTTGCACGTTGCACACCTACACACGTCAACACACAGTGCGGCTGTGCTGACACGCAGCGAGTGTGCCTCGCGCTCGCTGAGACACAGGCGCCAACCCACAGTGCGGCTGTTCTGACACGCACACGGCGTGCGCTAGGCGAGCTACAGGTCAGACCTACCGAGCCACTCTGGGACCGGCCTTATACTAATAATATGACATTTATGTCGCACAAACCCGTGTTACAATCATTGTTCCCTGCGCTTTACATAATATTCATGAACATGCACATGTTCCGCGGAATTCACAGATCGGCTTAAGGTAGCAATCCATATTGTGCGGGACGGCAGCGACAGCGACACAGCAGCGGGACGATATGTGCGGTACCACAAGTCACATTAAATCCATATGTGCGGCAGCGGAACGGCAGCAGGACGAAATGTGCGATATCGCAAGTCGCAAATTCAATAGGGGAAGGCATGTTGGCGCCTTTTTTGTTTTGAGCAGCGTGGCACATGCCCAGTCAAAACTGTCTAGGTTAATGAAACAAGAACGAATACTGCTGATGATGATTATAATCTTGATCTTTTGTCACTAGTGTAACGAACAGGTCCATCCATTCCTTTGCCTTTCAGGACAGCCCAGAGGCACCATTTGGGCATATCAAGAAAATGGGTGGATGAACAACGGCCTAGGGGTGCAATGGTTTCAGCAAGTTTTCCGTGTCAAATGAATTGACTGCATCACACAGAGATTCTTCACAGTCAACCCTATTCCGCCACATTCATATTTTTGTCTGCGGCAGCGGAAGAATCGCTCCTGGGTGCGATTTTTATCGTCCCGCTGCCGTCCCGCGGCTGCTGCCGTTCCGCACATATGGATTGTCACTTTGAAGATTGCACGTTTTAACGATCATGTAATTGCGCTGCATTTTTAAGATAGTGCTGCACATTTGAAGAGTCGTATAATTCACTTCCATCTTTATTCTTTTACTCACATCAAGGAACATTCACGAATATTTTCTAAAGTGAAAAAATATATAAAATTAGAATTAGACATGAATCAAGAGCTCACAAGAGAATGATACAATTATATAATCGTTAAAACGAGCAGCGCAATCTTAAGATCAGTACACATTATACACAGATGTCATATGTACGCACATAATAATATTCAGTTCTACATTTACTAAAAAATAACAGAGTAGAACATTCAAGCAAAATATTGCATACACTCTTTCTTACTAATAATAAGGAAAAAATTGAGACTCATGTCAATTTCAAAAGCGCCTTAATTACATACAAATAAAACAAATTACAGTGGAATTCCGGACCGGAAAAAAGTGTTGACTTTGAGCAAGGTTGACTTTATCCATTGTACTACTCGCAATTGAAAATTGAAGATGACAGCTACAAAATGACAAAGTAGGCCTTCCTGGTAACAAGATGTTAGCTCAATCTCAGTGAGTATAACTCTGAAGTTGTCACCAAAACAAGAGATAATGAGTGAACAAAGTAATTGGAGGTGTGTGCACCACTAGCTCAGGACCTAAACATCTCTTCTTAAATGAATTCATCTTGGGATTTAGCCCCAAATTGTTGACTTTACGCAAGGTCAACACTCAAGCGGTTGACTGTATCAGAAACACAATTACTTCAACAAAGAAGGTAAAAAACGGGACCACAGTGAGGTGTTGACTGTGAACAAGAGTTCACTTTATCAGGATTCCACTGTATATCTGTTATTACTGATCATTATGCTGAAACAAAAAGTGAAATTAGTTATCATAAAAAAAAAGGCAGTGTTCATCATTATGTCAAAAATATTGGATTGTCATCATGTTATGAACGTGACAGTGTGTCATAATGGTTATGAACAAAACCTTATTCCTTGTAATTTACAGTTGTTTTGGGATGTATTTTTAATTTTAACCCAACTTAAGGATGTATTAGACCTTGCTTACATTCTGATATTTTGATTTTTATCATAAGTGTATGGGTATGTATTTTAATCAGTGGTTTTTTTTGGTAACTTAATTGTTATGAATGAACTACATAATGTACTCTGAGGTCTTTCCAGTGTTGATAAACATTAAAAACATGTACACAGACATATTATAAGGAAACTTTCATTTAATATATTTAAAAGTAATGACAGGTCAAAATATTAATTTTTAGGTCAAAACTGAAGCCTAAGCCAAACGCCAGCACAGCTAATGAGCTATAGGCGGGTCCCAGAGTGGCTCCGTAGGTCTGACCTGTAGCTCACGTAGCTCGCACCGTGCAAATGAACGTACATGTATACATTATCGTGTGCTTAAGCAGCGTCGCTGCATCGTCTGTTTTTAGTCAGCTGAGCTGCGCGATGCGTCAGACGTGCTATTCAACAGTGTTGTAAAACATGGCGGACAGGTGTCGCCTGGCTTTGTGTTTATTTTCGACTGAAACTCTTCACAGATCATCAAAATCAACAAGAAGTAAGTGTTATTAGGTGCTTTACTATTAAATATATTGATGCTAGCATCAACACTTGGCCACAAAATCACCAAGAAATGCACTTTATCATACTTTGAAACTTCGAATCGAGAGGTTGACAGTCATAGGCCTAGATCTAGGTGTGCTTCTCTAGATTCTAGATCTACATCTAGATCTAGCCTTGCATTACCAATATAAACTATCGCCGCGCGCAGCTGCAAGTGTGTTTGTGTGAGTGTGTGTGTAGGGGGGGGGGGGGGGGCTGCACTTGGCACATGACGTAAAGAAGAGTTGTCCCGTCTTGGTATAATTGGTCTTGGATTTCAGAGTAGATCTACCTAAATATAGCAAGGCTCACCCGTCAGTTGCACACCTACACACGTCAACACACAATGCGGCTGTGCTGACACTGACACGCACAAGTTAGTAGGTCAGACCTACAGAGCCACTCTGGGACCTGCCTTACACCGACTACAGCGCAGTACACGTGACATGATTGACCTTTAGCTCCTAGGCGCTTTTTCCGTAGTTTCCATCCCCCAATTATTATTCACCTGTTTCGGGCATATAAAATCGAGTTCAAACTTTACAGATACAGTCACACCTGCCCTGACGGCCACCTCTATAAGACGGCCACCTGTACAAACAGCCACTTTCCATTTCCCCCCTTGCGTTTTTTCTATATAATTTAACTGTGTAAAACGGGCACCTGTCCAACGCGGCCGCGGCCACCATATTTTACCACACAACCCTTATCACACTAAGCAACTGTCTTAGACGGCCACCTTAGTGACTCCATTACGTTTTGTTATAAATTGTGCATTGGCCCCTGACATTGTGGGCGAGCCGTCATAATCCAATCACCTGTCGCTGTTGTTAGTTAGTCCCTCTGATCACGTTGCGTTGGCCCCTCCCGCTGTTGACCAATAGCTACCAATTTTCAGCTGCTGGTGAGGTAAGCGTGTGATCCCTCATAATCCATAAGCCCCGCCCAGAACTCATACACAAATCGTAAGTGAGATGAGTGGTCACTGTTTACCCAGTCTGTAACAAAGTAACAAAGGATGTCAACATGAACTTGTGACAGAAGCGTCGCTCGTTCTCCAAGTGGTGGCGACCCATGCGTTTGTTTTAACATGGCACTCGGTCTTCCTCGTCTGATACATTCCATTTTATTGTCACCCTTGTGCAAAATCAGCAACAAAATCAAAATTACAAACAAAATATAAACCAACAACAAAAACAACAACAATGCGGCTACTTTCGATTGGGACCTCAGATGGGAAAGGTTTGTTTTCTTCATCTTAATCTGTCCTGCCTAAGACGGCCACTTGTCTTATACGGCCACTTTTCTCCTTGACAATGGGTGGCCGTCTTACACAGGTTTGACTGTATAATATTGGCCTAGATCTAGATCCAGTATTTGAAGAAATTTCGACTTACGAAATCATGAAAATTACTTGAATTAAACGATGCGTTTCTTTGTGACAGTAAATGGCACGGAACATGGTTCACCTTCCAACTTGGTAAATATAATGTTAGCTCTAGATCTAGATCTAGATCTAGATCTAGATTCTAGATTTTTTTATCTAGACTCTAGAAATCTAGATTAGGTAGAAATACTACCAAAAAACCCGCTAGATCTAGATTCTAGATCTAGATCTAGAAATCTAGCTCTTCTTTCTTTACCCTGACAATATACACCACACAAGACAAAGACTCCAGATCTATCTAGATCTAGAATCTAGATCTAGATATTAAAATAGATATCTAGGACTATTCACAAGAAGAACTAAGTAAGACCTTATGAAGCAGTTTTACTATCTTTGGCTCTTCTTCTTACCTTCTTCTAAATCTACTACTGAAGTGGCTGAAGGTTGAACATTGGCCACGCCATCACAACAAATCATTCATAGTCACTTCAGTAACAGTGTCAGAGTCGTTTAAGTTTAAGTAAGCGTTGTGAGTGTTAGTGTTGGGTGATTTCCAGTAGACTTCACTTCAAGATTGTGTTCAGCTGCCAATGCACAATAAGGTGTTGACTAGATTCTAGATCTATAAGCTACAGCGTCGGAAATGCCAGTAGAAGTGACACTTATAGGGTACCCACTTTTAAGGCAAGCACCTTTTTCAAAAGAAATACGTGAACATTGCCTGTTCTTGTTGCGAGGCGAACGTAAACAATTCGGACGCCAGTTGCTTGTTTCCTCAAAGGAAGTTAGAGACACGCCCGTTTTATCGCACAAATTATGGTCCAACCAAAGAGGTTATAAAAATAGAACTAGAGGTCTTTGCTGTGACGTCACGAGTGTCAAACTTGAGTGGCGCGCCGCCATTCCGGAGAGGAAGAAAAGGCCAGTCGGTGCACAGCAACACTTTTCTGATACGAAATAACGATACTGAGCCGAGTCTTTTGAAGTTCATTTCTTTGTCATGTGATTTGTCTATCGCTAAAATGTGCTAGGCTAATCTAGCATCTGCGTTTGTTGCCATTTTTTGTCCAAAAGTTGCCACAAAATGCAAAAGTTGCCCAAAAAAGCTGCCATTAATCTTCAAGCTTTCAACTCTGTGACGATAGCAATATGTTGATCATTGATAGAGATTATAACAATCTAAAACACCAGGAATTCTTGTGCTCTGTTGTAAGCATCCAGAGTATCATTTGTAGACACACAGAGTGTCAAAACGTGAAAAATAAAGGTTTCACAACAGAATGAAATCAAAATTAGAACAGCAAATAAACAACCACAAAATTACCAAATAAGGGCGTGCGTCAACCCATTCATAGACAGGCCGTTTTAACCCTAGGCGTGTAATGCAAGACAAAAGTACAGGATCTAACGTGTAGATCATGGAATCACACAAAGGGGGCCTGCCACGGTCAGTATTCGGTTGTGGTGGAGACACGCTCTAACATAACACTTTAAAAAAATAAAAAAATGTAGGAACAACATTACGCTAGAGCTATATAAATACAAAACAATGGAAAAACAACACATCAGAACAATAACGAGAAAGAAAATTAAGAAAAACAAACAAAACAAAACCCAACAAAGAGGGAAACATGAAAGCGAAACAGCAATATGAGTAAATATATAGTGTAACCTACTGTGTTAACAATAAGTGAGAAAGAGACCAAGTGGAGCGAAAGTGAAAATAAACTTTATTTCTAAAAGTATAGGGGTTTGGTTTCTTTTTTTTTTCAAGAATACCATTCCCCGTTTTTGTTGTTGCTGTTTAAAATTTATTTTTTCTTCCCGGCGGTGGTATTTTGTTGGAAAAATGGAAAAATGCCAAAATCGCGGCCGCGACAAACACTAGGTTACAGTGGAAGAAAGATAAGGGCAGACCCTAAACAAATTGCAACAAAAATGAAGCGTGTATGGTTCGACAGATAAAATTTCATGTACAGTCCGTGCCGGCTTTAAGCACGCCGGCCATAAGCACGTTTCGGACTCAAGCACGTTAAATCCGCTAAACGGCTCTTACCGAATTTTTGCTATATAAATTACACGCCTTTAAGCACGGTAACTTCGGCTTCAAGCACGCTTCATTTACAAGACAGTCAATATTTTCATGATGACCCATCGAAGTTCGAACACAGTTTACACCGCAGCAGTGGAGAGTGTCAAGAAAAACACAAAGAACGCAAGTGATGGAGACACGCACTCACACGCGCGGAGAGGAAGGCAGAGAGATGCACACAGCCGTGCGCGCGGACATAGGATCTAGCCTAGGCCTAGGGCAAAGTTACACACAGACTAAACAAAATACAAAGAGAATCGGAGAGACGAGAAAGGGAGTCTGGCTGCGATTTCACATTTGACCCTCGCTATCCATTAATCCTGATTGTGTATCACGCGCGAGGTGGGATGAAGGCGGTGGTATGAGTGGCACAGCGGGCAGTGGTACACACAGGCAGTGCGTAGGCCTAGTGTGCCGTATCGTGACAGGTTGCGGGACGCTATAGGCCTGCTTACAAAAAAGCAAGGGAAATAGCACGAGGAATTTTCTACATGAAAATCCCTGGATTATGTCTACTTCGCACTTAAGCACGCTTCGGCTTTAAGCACGCTTAAGCTTTCTCCTGATGACCGTGCTTAAAGCCGGCATGGACTGTAATAACATATTAAAAATCGGCATTCGAAATCGTGGAGGAAATTGTTCTAAAAAGCGTTAAAAGTTGTCAAAAAAGCAAAATTTCTATTACGACCAAATTGATTTATCATACTTGCTTTGACGCGAGAATGTTTACGTAATTTGTACGGATTTTCCCGAAAATGATGTAATCGTCATTGGTATCAGCGCTTTTTATGTAAGAAGTATGGGAAGCCAATATATTAAAAATACGTTTTCTCACATCCTCAGCCTTTCAGTGGATATTTATTGTTTACCGCGTAATTTCCCTCTAAAGAATTTCCTCTTGTGCTATTGACATAACAAGGTGGGAATATTATTCTGGCCTTTGCACAACATAGAAAGAACAATATAGATGGGACTGAAGGGCACCGAGTGCGCATTTTGTGTCACCGATCTTAAATAACCGCAAAATATTTTTTGCAAAACATAGAAAGACTAGTCACAGTTCAGGAAGCTTAACAGGCTGAAACGCAAACATCGGTTAATTCTCCAAGAGTTCCTATTTAGCACCCACTGATTGTTTAAGGTCTGAAAAGAAAACTTTGCAGTCAAGCAAAGTCATAGAGACCTGTAATACTGTAATGCCGTTCGCGTGTGAACCGAGACCCGGAGTCAGGACACAATAAAGAAAGTACGAACGAACAACGACTACTCTTGGTTGTCTTTATTCAGTTGCGACTTCAAAATGTTCAAGCAGCGTCCATGTTCTGTTGCATTAGAAGTTGCCTAAGGACATCATTGAGGCCTCCAGATTTGTGAAAGATAGATGCCGTTCATAATGTTGTATCCTGTCTGAAGGAAAATTAATTTGAGCAGATCAATATTCGGAATCTGATGACCATTTTGGAAGCCCATCTGCACGAAGTGAAGGGCACAGTACATTATATTACGGACCACAGTACCCGAAAAAGAAAACCTGATGGGTGCAAGGGAAAGCATAACATAATGAGTAGCGGCAGTTGACTGGGGAGTTGTTACATTTCAGTAATCGGCTTCTTCAATTATACGAAAGCGATAATTTTATGAAACACCAAAGGGCTTTAAGGATGCCAAGTGCCAAGCAGAAGCAAATTGTCTAGGCAGTTCGTCAATAGATAAAAAAAAATCTACATTTGAAAAAGAAGTAAATCCATCAGTAAATCTAATTGGATATATTTATGGAGAAGGACACGCGCTAACTTGGTGGCCTCTTTGTGCTGTTTCTTGAAACTATCAATATAATGTACTACAATCCACGAAAGAAAATAGTTGCCCGCCGACCGAGGTCTATGATTGCTCCCTTCCTAGAAGAAATTTGTGCTTTTTTTAATCGCCACTTCTCCTCAGGGCCTCTTGTGAACTCACTGAACGCACTGGGACTCTGCGCCCCATACCGAGAGGCTCAAAGATTTAACTTGAATGCTACTGTTGGGTCACTCACTGGAAATATTTACGACTATAGCACACAGCTGTACTCAGTTTGAGACATTCAACTTTGGACTTTGACCACAACTTAAGGACTCCAGATGGAGAAAGGACATTCATGGCGTGGAGATTCCAGCAGCGCTCACACACACACTCAACTGAAGAAAACGTTTATACCCCGGTCATCAGTGTAAAACTCCATCACATTCCAAGTGGTCCTACATAGGGGAGCGCGAAGACTGGGATACAACAGACTGTCATTCTTTCTTTAAGAGAGTTTTTTGAAATCTATCAGTGCTCCATTTTCCACTTTTCAATTCAAACGGACAAGAAATCAATGTCACACGTACTTCTCCCAAACTGTGAGATATTTACGTAAATTAGATTGCAGTTCAATGAAATGCACCTGCAAGAAAAATGAACTAGATTGCTATCCTGCCAGCAAATTTCTTCTCTCTTCTTCTTCTTCTTCTTCTTCTTCTTCTTCTTCTTCTCGCAGAGGAAGATAGGACTAACGCTAAATTATTTTTTAAAAAACAACAACAACCAAATAACAGGAGCATGTCTTCTTACTAATTATAAACACAAGCACCATCCCACATCATCCCTTATCCCCACCACCACCGTCCTTTCTAAAGTCATCATTGCTCTCAGATCCTTCACAAACATCTAGAATTATCTTAAACATCTATCTGTAACAGTTACATGTCATAACAATTTTGTACGTTATACACTATTGGGCACTATCATACGGACATTTTTCTACTAATCAGATGACGTCACAGTCATAGAAATGGGCAAGGGACAAAAAAAAGAAGAATTTTCCACGCTGAGACCACATACATTCAAACAAAAATGAATAGATCTAGGATGGACTTGAGGATCACTTGTTAAAATAGAAAAAAAACATACGTTTTTAATAATAATAATGATGATGATAATAATAATAATAATAATAATAATAATAATAATAATAATAAAGATAATGATAACCAAGTGCGGCTCGTGGGGCTAAAAAGTGGACGTGCACAATTAAGCTATCGCATGCTGAAGATAGTCAAGGGCATAGTAAATGAGACGGTGTATAATTTTAGGATCTTTGGGTTGGTGAGGGAGGACCTCGTGCATTTATTTACATTCTTTTTACTTGTCGCTTTGATTTCTGGTACTAAATTTGTTTGTTAGCTAAAGATCAATTTCGTTCATCCTGTATTGGAACTGAACACTCAAGTAATAACTTTCACCACTCCATTACAAAACCATTCAAAGGCACAACTCATAGGACAGTGACTGAAGTATGTCACGTTCACCTCCCTCAGGTTCACGGTCACAGAGTCACTTAAAATTAAAATAGTGTCACAAGACAGACAATGAACCAATCACAATTCACTTGAGCACTCCGCTGGATTGCTCCGGGGCTCACATAATATTGGCAAAGAATAGCGTACGGTCTATCGCGTTTATTTTTAGACTGCCTACTGTGGGCTATTTTTCGGTACTATTCGGCAGGGGCACATTTGAGATGTGCTGTCTTATTAATATTATAAATGTACCGCCAAACTCGCTACGAGTGCCGTCATCGCTTGGGTTATCCCCAAGAGCGATTTATAGGTCAGGTAAAACTATTGAATATCCTATTATGTTTAGCTAAAGCGCATGGACGTTGGCATTGGAATAGTAGATGTTTTACGGCGCTATAGACACAGAAATGACAGTTATTGCGCCTGTGAGGACCTTGTTTTGATATAATATTTGGCTCGTGTTTGTTTCTGGCTTCTTTTATTTTATTATTGTGGGTGTTTTACGAAACAGAACATTTTCAAAAATTGGGCGGCTCTGCACGACCGTGCTCTATGGACGAACTGCGCTTGAAATGACTGTAATAATAATAATGAGCCTGTGCCAGAACCACAGCGTTTGACACCACGTGATGCAGTATTGTTTTGTACTCTTTATAGAAGACACATTTATTCTGTTTGTGGCGTTTGTGTTGTTAACATGCTGCAGTAGCAGCCCAAGCGACAGATTTTTGTTTTATGTAGATCTATGATTTATCTTAGAAAGGATAAAATAAAGCGATTTTTCTATTTTTGCCTTTTTCAATATATGTCACATGAAAACAACATTGCAACTAGACTCTACTTCCGAACATATAGCTTTGTATTGTGTCTTCCAAACTTGTCTGGTTTTGAGAGTAGGTCTAAAGCCGTCGTATTTCAGGCTTACATCGAAATACTTCATCTGGCTTCACAATTTTCATCAATTGCAATCTTTACAGGTGTCTGACATGCATAACTGCTGTCATCCTGCAACATTGTACATTTTGAAGTCATCGTGTTAAGCACGTAAGACCAGACCAGACCATCAATGATTTATTTATAGAGGCACCAGCCATCCATGTCCAGGTGCTGTAATTAAGCACGTAAGATGACCAATAAAAGTGTACTTTGCTGTACGTCACTGGTAGGTTGGGCCTCGACTCTACAAAGTTCCTATCACCTCGTTCATGCAATGCCTCAGCGTTTGAGTTTGAGCCACTGAGACAGATATTTAAAAATAGTGTAGGGAGTGACTAGAATGCAAAATACAGCCTGATGGGGAGTTTTAGAGTATATTCATGGAATAATTGGCAAG